ATCTTTGGTTTCAGGACTGCTCAACCATAAGTTTATCTTTGTGTTTTTATTTCAGTGTTCATCTGTATATGACGTGTAAGAGCATAAGGAAGCAAATAAGTTTACTGGCAGGAAGTACCCCTGCATATATTGAACTGTGAAGTGAAAATTAGTTTTTCTCATTAGTAAGAGGGGAAGAACGAGATGACCAGATCTCTTCTGAATGTGGACTGTGCAGTTCAGCTCTTCAGATCATTTTCACAGGCATTGATGTGACCATGCCATGTCATTGCTTTAGATCATGCCCAAAACTCCAGTAGCACATGCTTCTTTCCCTGTTTCCCTCTTCCCTCCCAGTAAATGTGTAGAGCAGGAACGCGTGTATACAGGAGCTGTGAGAGTCAGAGAACCACAGTGTGTTGCTCTGATGACACACAATGCTGGGATACCACTCATGTGGAATGGACTTTCCTTGGCCACCACCATGGCTTCTGTGACAATGATATAGTAGTGACATAATGAATATTAACATGTTTTGCCTGATCCTTTCAGAGGCTCTAGGAAAAAGTAGCGACTCACTCAGATGCTCTCTCAGTGGCAAGTCTAACGTCTTTGAAAGGGAATTAATAACGTCACTCCTTCAGGTCCGTCTACTTTAAAACTATGGGTGCCTCTATTTTAAAACTACCTGAGCAACCCCAACTAGAAGTCTTCAGTCCCTGCTTGTGAATAGATGTGTGCCAAGAAAAATATAATAGTATTCTGTTTTTAGCTAGTGACAAAATCTATTTTCAGTACAAATACTCCAGTCATTCTAGTGAGGATTACAGGCTGTCCTTGGTAAAGCGTATTAAGTTTTATAATCAATTGGTTTTCCTTTTTGTCTTGATGTTGTGATACTTAGTATCTGAAACAACAAAAGTTTTGGTATGCAGCCTGTCTGTGCTGCCCCTTAGAAATATCATGGTGGCCTACCGGTGTTTAGTGGCTCAGTCTGAGTTTGGGGAGCACTATACTGGATTGTTGTTTGCTTAATGCCAATAGCAGGCTTGTCACATAGTCAGTGCAAATAAAATTTAGGGTCACAAATTTCAAACATATGAAAGTGAGTCTATGCCCCATTTTCAAAAATTACTCACTAAAACCCAGTGATCTAATTATCACTTGCCAAAGTAGGATGAGAACCTGTAGTATTTCACTTCGTCCTGATTCAAATTAATGTACAAGCCACCACTGAAGTGCTGCCGTAAGCCCTTTTGAGCAGCCTCAGGTCCACAAGGAGGTAAGGAAACATCCATGATTGCTTACAGTGGAGAATCTGACTCTGTAGTCTCATATTCTAGCTTACCCTGTAGGATGAGTCATTTGTCTACCAAATCTTTGGACTCGTATTTTGGCATTCAGGCCTTTAATAAAATTTGAAAGGTCCCAGTGACTGTTTATAATCAGTTGTGGTGGGTTAGAAGCTAAGTCTTCCTACTAAGAGAGGAAGAGTTTCACACGTGGCAATGCACAAAGGCCACTGCCTTAACTATCTTATGCGTATAGGCTTACTTAGACTACGCATGCACATCCCCTGTTTGAGGATGTGCTATAAACGTAGCTGCTGAAGTATGACACTCTGGGTGGCAGAGACCACTGTCCAAAAGACTGTCCTGACCGCTAAGCACTGAAGTTCTTTAGAGGCTGAAAAAGTGAAAACAAAGGTTAGTGCATGTCAAGAAAGAAATCTAAACACATGGCTACTGGATAAAAACTACTCTTCCCCTGTTCCTGACAGGAACAAGAAAGAGTGATTCACAGACTCTCATGGGGCTTTGCTCTCTGAATCCCTTGTAGATTCATTCATTATGAAGATTGACAAAAATGGTCAAATAGGTGAGTGCTGTTAGTTGCTAAGTTGTGGGGCACTTCTGTTAATTACACTGTCTGGACACCACATTTGGGAGCACTTCCATTCCCTTCAGGTAACTAATTCATTTCTGATGGGATTTTGGTTCTTCACTATAGGCACTTTGGAAAATTTTGTCAATTGCCCTGAATAGTTCAAAATCTGAGTAACAGGTAGATGAAATATATACAGTGCGAGCAGGAGAGTGTCATAGGAAAGAATTGCAACTTGGGAGTAATGCGAAAAACAACCCAATATACGTGTCTTTAGGGCTTTCATTTTTTAAAACATGACGATCAATGTCAGTAAGCCTTGGGCTTCAGCCTTAGGCTGAAAAGGTGTTTTGGGCAGGAAAAAAAGGAGATGCATTGAAAGTCAGGGAGCAGAGCGACATGTAACTGCCACAGATGCAAAGCAGAACAACTTGGGAAATCAAACTGCAAAGACAGAACTATCAGAAATCCGGGAAAGCTATCCATATTTCAAACACTGATTCACATCCAGGAAAACTACACAAGTTAATAAAAAGAAGGAAATTGACATTTTTCCCTCTTTATCCTTTAAATAACTGACGAAGCAACATAACAAGGCTCAGGCTCCCTGTAGAACTTAAATCAGGGGCTGTAAATTGATGGTGTGACAGCCATAATACACTTTATTTTGCTGATTAAACTGGCACTAGTATCTTGGTCAGGTAATTAATTCACGTACTGAACACTTGACCCAAATTTTTAGGGGTAATCCTCTTCGTAATCTTCTAAACAGCTACAGGCAGAAATTTGTAGCAGGGATTTCGATACCTGTATTTCCTTAGAGGCTGGGCCATAAGCTGAAATGTTCTGGCCATACTAATCCTCATAAATAAGAAGGCATTTTATATGGAGACCCACATACACAGTGTATGTGTTTCAGGTGAGTGCACTTTAAGCCCATTTTCTTAAGGTATTTCTTCTTCACTAGCCATAATACTCACTGTTTGATACAACCCTGGCATTTTTAACTAACTCCGAATTCATCCCTATTACTGTGTCCTTCTGCATATGGAAAGACTCCCCAGGATATGTAGGGTTAATCTGCTCCAAACTAATCATGCAAAAGTTAAACGTCTCTTTCAAAGTTAGGCACCTCCAAAGTCCTCTAGTAACAGCAGAGATTTCATCTCACTGGAGGATGTAGGTGTGATGATTCATCTCCTGAAAACTATTTTTTTTCTCTGCTGATTGTAAAGAAAGCCTAGAATTATCAGCTGAAAGTGGGCCATCTAAATTTTGGACACCTAGATCACGACAGAAGAATGCCACTGTTTTAAAAATCCTGGAATATTTATGTCAAATGACCACTGCAGCATTACACTGGACTTTCAAATCCTTACTGCAGCAGAGCAAAAGTATTCTTTTACCATTCTGTAGAACTTAATAGACACACACCTATTTTTGACACTAAGTATCATCAGATTCATCTTCATAAAGCACACTATGTGTTACAATCGGCTATGTCAGTGTGTGGGAAAGCAATGGAAAGGGAGGCATGAAAAAACATCCCTCAAATCAGCTCAAATACAAGAAAAATCTTGAAAAGTGGAAGTTCATTTCACAGTCTCCATGTTTAGTCATATACACATGTAAAGCGAAGCATCATCCATCTGTTCATGGCAAGTTTTGCAGAGATTTTTAATAGGATACATTAATGCTAATAATGGCCAATGTTTATGATGTTGATAAAATAACCATTATGGAACATCTGGAATGCTCGTAAAATTTGTTCCTATAGAATTCATGGGAGTTTAACACTTCCCTGAGCCTGGCTTTTCACTGACCTAGTTTTCACAGGCCATATCTGCCAGAAACTCTCTCCTTCCTGGGCATTGCCATGTACGTGTCACTCTGATACTCATGCTTTGAAGCCAGACCCATTTCTATTCTTGTAAGTTCAACATTCAGCACATTACAGAAACAACCATACATCCAAACTGCAAGTTTCCACCTGAAACGGCAGGGATCTCTATTTCCAAGTGACAGATGTTCCACAACAGTTGGTGACAAACAGGCTAATTTAGACAGATTTAACTAAGGTTCAGCCTGCTGACAATGGGGGATTTTTTAATGCAGCTAAAGAAGGCATTTCTGAATACTAGAGCTGGCTGTTACACACGAAAATACAGAGGCCCTGGTGTGAAGTGAACAGCATAGCCATGTGTGGTGCTTGCATCTCTGCCTTTTAGTTGCTGAGATGGAAGACGACATTGCCTAGGCAAATTATCAGGGGCATTAGTGGATCTTTAAATTTCTCTCACTGAATATATGTCCTCAGAAATCAAGTTGCTTTGGACCAGATTCTTTCTTCCTAAGTTTGGGTATCCTCTCCTCTCCTCTCCTCTCCTCTCCTCTCCTCTCCTCTCCTCTCCTCTCTCCCTTCTCTTTTTTTCCTTCCTTTAGAGAATACCTCTAGGCGAGTACCCTGATTACTGTTTTATGAGGGAACCCCATTAAGGTAACTTTATTGATGATGTTTCTGTACTAAGGAAATAGCTGCCAGCACTAAATATTTAAGACAGTTTATCTGCCGAATTAACACTGGCATCGTATCAGCCAAGCAGTCCTGCTGCCAGCAGCGGAATAGTACATTCTTTTTACTGTGGAGGTGGCCTGATATGCTGTGATTATATCCCTAAGAGTTGATCAGTTCTACTTCCATTGACCTAAACCTAGCTTATATATATATATTCTAATTGTCCTCTTGTCTGTAGTTGACCTAGTTAACTAGAATTCTTATACACCTACAACTCACAGGTTACAAATCACTTCCCTCCACATAAAGCATGATCTTTAGGGCTGCTTCTGTCTGGTTTGTTCCTTAAGTGTTATGTTTACATAATTGTGGACAATAAGCCACATGTCTCCATGTCTTTATTAATAAAAAAACTACTGAAACTTTGCTCACCTTGAGAAATAAGCTCTTAGGAATGGTCCTTGTTCCTCCAAATTGCCATAGAGTATGAGATAGGATATGAAGTAGAATATGACTGCATTGCAACTACTTACCCCCAAACAAACAAATAAACGATAAAAAATACTACTACCACCACCACCACCAGCACTACAATGACACTGCACAAAAAGGGGCTACTTACATTGAGTGAGGATCCCTGTTAAGGCATTTTTAAAGCTCTCCTTGGCTTGCTCCATTTCTTGCTCATGAGCAGCCTTTTCATTCATGAGCCGGCGAACGTGGCTGTTTGCTGACTGCACCATGGAATAGAACTGGTTTGCAGAGCGACGATTCACCTCTCCTCTCTCGATCCACGTGAGCAGCACTGTGATGGCCTCTGAAAACTTGCTATCATCTAGGACAACCAAAGCACAGGGTTTAAATTACAGATATAAATATCCTGTCGAGAACACATTTTCTGCTCCATGTCACATTAAAATCACCATAACTCATGCTTGTACTATATCATATTGGGAAACTTTGGGGTCTTTTGTTCTGTCAGGTATAGGAAGCCAATATGACCATGTGAAGCTCCATAAATCTTCCTTCAAGACTTATTATTTTAACAGTCCTCTCATGACACAAAGGAAAAAAAAGAAAGAAGAAAAAGAAAAAAACAAATCCCTGTGGCCTGATTCCTCACTTACCCAACAGTTCCCTTTAAGCTGTTTTAACAAAATAAAATGACTTTATATTAGAAATGACAGTGACAATGATTGCCAGGCACCTTTACGTTACCAGAACCATTGAAGAAATGAAATCTGACCTTGTTAATCTGCTTGGCCAAAAGCTCAGTCTTGGAGCTTGGGCTCAGCCATGCTTTTGTAAACATTTCACTAACATATCTTTTCTAATTAATGAACGATGACTAAGCTGAACAATTCCTGCTCAAAGCACTGAGTAATTACAAGCAACTGCTTTGAACAGAGGTTATGGCTGTATTTTCTATGTTGTATAGAAATACATTCATATACATGCATATATATATATTTAAGGGAGATCTGAGAAGTATCTGGATTATTGCTTTCTGTTTACTCTTAAGGTAACTAAAGTTGTTATATTGCAAAAAAGAAAAATAAAACTCATGGCTAGATTTTGTGCCCTCCAAAGTAATCTCATTTCTTCAGACAGTGCTGTCAGCTTCCTCAGAAGACACTTAACGCAGGATCCATTATACTCCTGGTTTCATCAGGATTAAGAGAACACATTTTTTAAAGTCACATTCAGGCTGAATGGCAAAAAAAAATGTTATTACAATAAACAGTGTCATCTTGTGGATTTTTTTTTTTTTGCACAAACCAATCTCATTTTTCCCCAGGTTTTTATTCTACTAAAGATCCATTTAAAAACCATTTTAAATACTTCATCTAGTCCTTGGCATTTAGATTTCTTCTTGTATTTTAAGTGACTGACATATCTTTCTAAAGTTTCAAAGGGGAGAGGTAGTATCATTACCTAAAGACATTTAAAATGAAAATTAGAAAATATTAAGACCAGCCAACTATCTTGAAGGATACAGAACTGTGGAACAAAGTAAGGCACTGCCTTCCATGCACAAAGAGTGATGAAATACTAGGAATACTAGTATATAAGTGATGATTGGACTTTTCTTCTGAGTCTGAGGGAATCACATCCCTGAAAGGAGAGGAACGTAAAGTACAAGAAGGCCATATGGCATGCTCTATACTGACGGCTTGTGAATAATAGGTTTTACATTGCTCTATCTTTAGCCTTTTATTAATTGAATTATGCTTGCAGCTGCAACAAGGAGGCTTGTGCTTCAGAAGTAGATAATTATGTTCATCTGAGATTCCAGAAAAAAAAGTCATAAAATAAGGGTATGATAAAATCTTCCTCTTGTTCCATGATGTATTGGTTGTTACTTTATATTAACATGTGATTTGTTATCATCATTCATTAAGTGTGTCATGGGAGGAAGATTTGGTCAGGTATCCAATTTTTCTTTCCTGTCCCCTTGGATAAGTCTCTAGGTCCTGCCTTTGTTGGATATAGACAGGACAAATACATATGGCTCTGAGGAGTCAAAGCTGGCTAAATATGGACCTCAGACAATGAAGATGTACACAAGACTCATGCAAAGTGAATTCATTGCAAGAAGACACTGGGATAAGACTTCCCAAGCTTGAGTAAAATCTTCAGCCTGCTGAAATACAAGGGAATGGAATGTCATGGACTTGCTGAGAACTTATTCCTGGAACATAATGCTTATTATAATTACAGTAGTCAATGAGAATAATGGCTCCTGGGAATGTTAGTATGCAATTTCCTACAGTCTGTAGAGCCAGGTCACTCTGTGGATGGAACCAGCCTGTTAACCCTGAGAGTGCATTTGACTGCGAATACACTGTGGCTACAGCTGAATGTTTTTAACTTGTAGACATCACTGTCTAAATCATCACATGTAATTTACCACCCAACACTGAAGTATCATTTCGAGTAAATTATTCTATTTAATCTAGGTCAAGACATGAATAGCAAAGTTGGGAGAAACAATAAACAGAAGTACCTCTGAAGAGGTAGCGCTATAACACTTGAAGGGACAGTCTACAGAGCAAAATGTGAAGCAAAAGCATTTCATGAAGATGCATTAGTAAAATCAGTTGCACAGACCCATTCTCCCCTTTTCTCACATTACTCTTTCTACAGTGCATGGTGAGCATGTTGATTTGCTATAGACTCTACATGAAATGAAAACACTCCGCCTTTTATTTTGTTTGTATCAAGCACAGTTGCTGTCTATAAGAGATGTTCATAAACATGCCATCTTTCTGCCAGATAAATTCAACCCATTTAAAAAGCCACAAAGAAACGTCATTTTCAATATACTATATTGTCAGAGAAATGCAGAGGTCTATGGGCCTGTTATAGTTAATTCGTTGCTCTTTCCTAGTGGAAAAAAAAAAAAAAAACACTCTTCCACTGGTAAGCATCAGAAACTTCATTGATTACATAATTAGGAAATACATTAAGAAATGCTTGAGGGTAATATATTCACAACAGAAGCACATTAGTAAATAAAATCTTTTCTCTACAGTTTTAAAATTTCCTTATTTCACATTTATTTCTAACTTTTATATTCATTAACCTACTACTTGGTGATTGGCATAAGGCAACTCACAGTGAATTAAAATCCAGAAAGTTCTTTTTGAGCAATCAGAGGTTCACTTGGAAAATCAAATTTCTCTACTAGGTTGTTCATTAATTTTTTATTTACTAGATAAATAGCAGAAGAAACACAGCAATGGAATCTAATATAAGCAGAGGATGAATTGTCCTATGTTTTCAGCCACTCATTAAAAACAAAAAGCAAAACAGTACTCCTAATTCTGTTCAAAATTATTCCCTTGCGGTAGGATGCACAGAAATATACAGTATTTAAAAACATACTGTTAAAATATTTCTTTATAAAAGAGATGCTCCAGTGCATAACTGCTCCTTTAAAATGAGCACACAGTGAATTATTCCTTGCACTTAAGCATTTTCTTCTGCACATTGCAGCATATTTTAAGTAAATAGGGAAGGATTCATCAGCTTTATGCCAACATCTAAATTAGTAATCCCAGGCCCCCCAATACAGTCAGGGAAGGAGATGGATGTTTCTCAGACATGCTTTGTGAGTCCTCTTTTAGCTGGTTACTCAAAAGTGAGGTGAACTGTGCCCTAGAAGTGCCCGTTTCCCTCAACTGGCTCTAAAAGGGATCCAGCCGTGACTTGTTATAGACATTCATGCAACAGATATCCGCATTAGGTCAGAAGAAACCCAGCTATTACATAAGTACAGCAGCTACAGAACACCTATGCAGTATTTGTACATGTATGTTGGGTTCATTGTGAACTCTGATGTATGGTATTTCTTTTAAATATTATTATTCTATTGAGGATGGTCTACTTGGTATATGTTGACAGAGATTTTCAGGTGCTTCTAGACTCAGTTACAGGCCTCCAGAGAGAAGATATTTCCAATATCTCTCATATCAACTGAAGATATTTGGCAAGTCTTAGCTCTCTGATGAGAAGAAGTATAAGGCAAAAAAAAAAAAAGAATGTATCCCTAGAGCTGTCTGGAAAATTGTCATTAGGGATATTTCTGTGAAAAAAAAAGAGGAACAATTGTGGACAAATGTTTTGCATTTTTTCTTATGGTTTAACCTGCTCCAAACACACAGAACCACAGAATCACAGAATGGTTAAGGTTGGTAGGGACCTCTAGAGATCATCTAGTCCAACCCCCCTGCTCCAGCAGGGACACGTAGAGCACGTGGCACAGGGTGGCATCCAGGCAGGTTTGGAAGATCTCCAGAGAAGGAGACTCCACAGCCTCTCTGGGCAGCCTGTTCCAGGGCTCTGTCATACTCACAGTAGAAAGAAGTTTGTCCTCATATGGAGATGGAACTTCCTGTGTTTCAAAGGAAGTGTGTGAACAATTCCAACTGGTGTAAAATAGAAGAAGCTATGACTGCTACAAGATGGCATACTGAGAGCAAGTCTAGGAAACAAAGTTTTCAGTCTCAGTTTATAGACTTTCTTTGGTGCAGCAGAGAGCAGAATTTAGTCAGCATAATCTTAAGTTTTGTGACTCTTCATCTCTCAGTGTTAGGGGTTTACCTGAGGTGCTTTCAGGACAGAAGAGTCAGTTTCTAAGGTTTTGACCACTAGAAAGGAGATAGATAGACTAATCTATCACTCTGAAGCCAGGCATTCAAATATTCAATTATCATTATCATTTTCACAATTACAGGAATATTAAAACATAGAGAACTTTATATTTTTCTATTTAGAGAGTAACATTATGTGCTCTACTTCTTACTAGGAAAAGATGGAGCAATGAGGGGTTTTTTTAGACTCCTTTTTTAGTTTCTTTTACACGTTTCAGTCTTTTAATCTTCCCAGCCCTGGGCTTTTTCAAAGGTTTGCAAAGTATCTGGCATAATTCACACAACACTGGAGGCTGGTCTAAATTAGAGCAATCTTGCTATGTTGTCCTATAGTCCGTGGTGTTTTCCTGGTTCTGCAGTATACATTAGTCCTCACCCTAATCCTCCTTCCCTGGTGCAATCTCCTAGACTTACAAGAGATGTAGAAAAGACCAATCTGTTACTCCTTATCCTCCTGTCTACACCTAGAAGCTGCACTGGCTTCATATGTTTTGGGCTGTGTTAATGATCTCATTTTTCTGTGGCTCTTCTGTAAGACAAGAAGATGGAAGTTTGCCCTTATTCTAAGTTCTGACCTCACCATTAGAAATTCAGCTAACAAATACCTCATGAAGGTCTAATTGTAGCTGCGAATGACTGTGTACAGCATGTGTACAGAGGGGCTCATGTCATATGTCTA